CAGCTTCTGGAGGTGCTCTGACACAGAAGGATCATGACCCCCTCCCTGATTATCTACCAAGAGCAGGGACCTCCTCTCTCTTAGGTCCCACGTCCTTTGGAGAGGACCCGGTGCTCTGCCACCTTGTACCCTGACTGAACTCAGAGTGAATTTACACACCAGAAACAACAGCAAGCATACAGGCATGCAGAAGAAGCAATGTGCTCTTAAACCTCCACCCCCTCCCTAATCCAAGGCCTCCTCCTGAACAGAACAGAACATGAACCACCCTCACACCTGTAGCTTGGTTACTGCCAACAAACAGCCGGAAAGGAGAACCAGGAATTCTGGCCACAGATAACACGTGCGGGCCACCCCCACCCCCACCCCTGGCAGCAGCTCGTTATCCAACAGGCAGACCTGCCGAGCAGGAACACCTCAAGGAGAGGTTTATTGAAACCATGTGAGTATTTTTTAAAAACTTAAGTAATCTCTGTAAGAAAAATCAGAATTTTATTGAACTTGTTACACTTATTTTACAGGATAGTGTTGAAAGTTTTGGGGGAAGGAGACAGAACTCTCTTCCAGCGATTCCAGCCCTGCCTGCAGGGGCAGATGGAGCTTCCTGGAGGGACAGACTCCACTCTCAGCCCCTGTTACAGTTACACAGAGAGCAGAGCCCTGATGTTGCTAAGGGAGGCGAAGGCAGGTGCCTTGCCCCAAAGGTGCTTAGCCCCAAAGTACCCAAAGTAACATCATACCTTGGCTGAAAAAGAGGATATAAACTCAGGGCCTGCAGGCTTGATTTAGTCAAAGGATGCAGAAATGCATTTTGCTTGGTTTTTTACAATGCTTTAAGATTTGAGATTTTTCACATTAAAATCCATTTTCTGATTTTTTTTTTTCTTTAACAATGGAATGTCAGTGCTGAACTTCAAGTGCTGCTTGGCAAAAATTATCTGAGCTGAGTGTGAGAGACTCTCTCTGTCAGAGATGTCACCATTCTCTCTCGGACTCATGTGGCCAGCTTCACGCATCTGCAAAAATTTCCTGGGCCCTACTGGAAAGTAGGGGGAGGAGCTTAAGACCCTTTAAAACTTTGAGTCCCGTTAAACTGCAGGATTTATAGCTAAAGAAACCCCTGAAGGCTTTGACAGTCTTATTTTCAGGTCACTGCGAAAGTCCTGACAGCTGTCTTTCTATGGAGAATGCTCTAGAGCTTGGGAGCCCCAGGTTCTGAGAGTGATGGACAGAGGTGGTTGCTAACCACCACAGCAGGAAGGAAGACTGGGATTCGAGGCGGAATATAAATTCAGAATTTCACAGCGGGGCATCCATCAGCAGCCTGCCTGTCTTGCTTGCCCTCCAGGGCTCTTGTCATAGCTCTTCCCTCTTCCAGCCTGGCCGCAGTGAGCCATGGACAGGCTTCTTCAGGAGCTTGGTTTGCTGGAGCTAAAACAAGTTTTGGCAACTGACACAGGACACCCTGCCCATGCTGTTAAGAAAAGTCAAATATGCTTGACCACCTGGTTGAACTTACAGAAAAATCTCTACGCTGCCAGGCCACTGGACACTTCAGGCAGGAGGTTCAGTCCACACTGTGCATTCCCCACACGAGGTGCCTGCAGCCCCCCCCCCCCCCCCAGGCCTTAATGGTGTTCCTTATCCCACGGGAGTGCTTCTTCTGCCAGTGAAGCAAGCAAGCATCACTGGCCATCCTGTCCATGATGCTTGCTTCCCCAGGGCTGCTCCTGGGCCCCTTCAAGGTTAATTCATTCTTTTGCCTTTTGAATTAAAAAAACAAAAGAAAGGAATTCCCTGACAGTCCAGTGGTTAGGACTTCACTGCCGGGGCCCATGTCCAATTGGAGAGGTGGGAGAGAACTAAGATCACACAAGTTGCCTGCCACAGTCAAAAAAAAAGGCTTTAATGTGACTTTAAGAGGTTTTAACATCTTTAAAATGGTCAAGATTAGCTAAAATGCTTCACAGTGAGGTAGGGAGGACTCTATAAGTCTGCAAAGGTCTTTCTAAACCAAAAGTCAGTTTTGCTGTCTTCTGCTCACCTGTTGACATTTTCTGACTTCCCAGCATGTCCTCTGTCACCCAAGAAAAGTCTTAAATCTTTGCAGATTTAAACCGTTCAGAGCATATGACAGAGAGAAAACCTTTTGGATCACGTTATCCAAAACTGTCTCCCCGGTTGCAGGAAAACAAAAGGTACCTCCTTGGGAATCCCCACCAGAGGGACAGGTCATCAAGCCTCAGCACCTCTCAAAACTTCCAAGTTCAGTTCAGTCGCTCAGTCGTGTCCGATTCTGCGACCCCATGGACTGCAGCATGCCAGGCCTCCCTGTCCATCACCACCTCCCGGAGTTTACTCAAACTCATGTCCATTGAGTCGGTGACGCCATCCAATGATCTCATCCCCTGTCGTCCCCTTCTCCTGCCTTCAATCTTTCCCAGCATCAGGGTCTTTTCAAAAGTTCCAAGGCGCCATGACAAATCACTGACTACCTAGGCCTGTCTCTTACCACTAGGTGTCACACTAAACAACCCGGAATAAAGACCCCCCAGTTGCCCAAGGCTACAGCTGCAGAAAACCATCACAGGAGGTGCAAAGAAACGTATTCCTGAGATACTTTGGACTTATGCATGATTGTTTTCCATGATCATTTTCAAACCTGCAGCTGACAATTGTCTTCTAAGGTACCTTTGTAAGAGGGGCAGTCAGAGTTTGCTATTTCTGTACCCTTTTAATGTATTTTTTATATATGAAAATCCCCAGATGGGGGAACGTCTACTCTCTATTTTACCTAAAAATTGGAGTAGAAAATACTTTGCATATCTTTCAAATTAAAGTGTATTCAGTCTCATTTTCACAAGGTGTTTCCAAAAGTGTTAATACCATGACTGTTTTGGCCAAACAGGTTGGGATAGAAATTAGATAAACTGCCATGGAATGTCCAGGTAAATTTATCTGCAACTGTTTCTTTTTAGGAAAGTGGGAACAATAGTTGCTTTCTTACAAGATTAGTTCTGAGAATTAACAATGTATAGCAGAAAGTGTTGGAGCCCTTCAAAAATTTATACTGTGATGTTTCTAAGAGACTGGTCACCCTTAAGCAAAGATACATGAGCATTTGTTATCAAGTAATAGAATTTTTAATCTGGAAAAAAAGTCTAAACAGCATTAAACCCAATCTTATTATAAAAGCAGGTATCCCATAACAAAGGCAGCTAATCTCTCCAACGAATATGCAGGTAATTAGAGGTAGAGCTGGGAACTGAGGTCTCCTAGAGCCTCCATTGCACCTTCCCTAATACTCAGGTATTTGTGTATCACATGCCTGCGGAGGCCATGTGGACTCTATCCCTGAGAAGTTTTCATTTTAATGTATGACCATTACTACCCTGACAGTTTTACTTCTTGATTTTACTTTTTTTCCCTCCTCATATTTTGTCTCTCACTGCCACTGACCCAGATTCCCTACACTGAGATACTGGAGATAGGGGAATGGAAAGGGGAGATGAGGAATGGAGAAGGGTTGGTTAGTACATGGTCAGTTAAGCTGAAGGTGATTGCAGTAATCACCAGAAATCTCTGCAAAACTACAGAGGCTCCCTGGGACCTATTCTGAAGAACTGTGACCCAAGTTTCTTTATTTTGCCTGGACCATTTCTAGAAATAGATGAATGCATACCTCTCATTGACTAGGAGGTGGGGGCGGGGCAGAGAGCCCAGGTTCTATTTCTGCAGGTGAGAGGAGGGTGGTGGGCCTGGAGTGGCTACTCGTATAGCAAGCGTAGGTCCCAGGCAGGAGAGCAAGGAGCCAGCAGTGGCAGGATGCAGGGCACTACGGGCTGCCTTGAGCCTCCTGCACCATGCCTGGCAGATAATTTCTTAGCCATCCACAAGGCCCGATCTGGGATAAGGCTCTAGTCTACCCATTCTTCAGCCACCTTCCCCAAGTGCTTCTGCAAAGTTGCCCAGCGGAGCACCCAGAACTAGTGTAGGTTCCGGGTCTGCTCCCCGCAGCAGCACAGCGCAGACCAGGGAACCCGACCTCCATAATTCTTTCCTTATTGCCAGGGATCTACAACCTCTGCTACAAAGATTCATACCTTGCTTGCCTTGAAAAATACCATGGTCGTTTCCCTGCATTCAGGGCAGAGTGCTTGCCTCTCCCCCAGTCAACAGGATTGTTGATCCCAAGGAAATGATTTGAGGGTTCCCCAAGCATTTAGGCTTTTAATGACAAAAGCTTTAGAAACTTCTACCCGGGGGTGGAGAGTGGGCTGGGGGTGTCTACTCGGCCGGTGCCTACAATGCTAAGAGCCTGGTACTGGCAGGAAGGCAGACGATGACCTTCCCCGACCAGTGCATCCTCCCCGCAGAGAGCTTTGGGGAAGTGAATCCCTACACCCGGCCAACATTTCCACTCGCGCTTTCAAAAGATTTTTTTAAAAAAAGGAAAAGACCTGCAGGTCGGTAAACCCCAGTGAAGAACCAGCCTGCAGACCTGCGTCTTTGGGATGTCAGCAGCTGACGACCCTAAATCAAATCGATCATATTGGGAAAACCCAGGGAAAGAGAGCTTCTTGCAGAGGGCCAGGATTACTGCGTGCAGGTTGCAGGGAAGTACCCCGGGAGGGGGCCCGGTCAGGAGGACTTTCCAGCCACTCAGCGTTCATCAAAAAGTTCCCTGTACATGACCCCAGTGGCTCATCACAGGGAGTTTCTCTGATGAACCCGGGCGCGGGGTTTAGGCTTCTTTTTCCCCCTAGCAGAGGACGAGGCCAGTTCTCTTTTCTGGTCTGACTGGCTTGGAAATTCCCCGCGCCTGACCCCGCCCCGGAGAAATCCCCTGCCAGCGTTTATAGGGCGCCGCGGCGGCGCTGCCGAGCCCACAACAGCCCCAGCCCGTCGTCCCGCCCGCCCGCCACTCCGAGAGCAGCCAGCGCGCAGCGCAGCCCGCGGCCCGTGCACCTGGGGAGCAGCGCCCGAGCCTTCACCGCGCCATGTTCCAGCCTGCCGAGCCCGGCCAAGACTGGGCCATGGAGGGCCCCCGGGACGCGCTCAAGAAGGAGCGGCTGCTGGACGATCGCCACGACAGCGGCCTGGACTCCATGAAGGACGAGGAGTATGAGCAGATGGTGAAGGAACTGCGAGAGATCCGCCTGGAGCCGCAGGAGGCGCCGCGCGGCGCCGAGCCCTGGAAACAGCAGCTCACCGAGGACGGGGACTCGTAAGTGTCGCGGGCCCGGGCGGCGGGGCCGGGTGGGGGCGCCGGGCCTGCAGCCCCAGGCGCGGGGCCCGCGGGCGGCCGCGCACCGGGGTTCGTGCACCGACTCCGAGGCCGTGCAAAGGTGCGCGGCTGCGCGCGGGGTCCGGGCGCGGGGGGCCCGGGGGGCCGTGGTCCCGCGGCCCTGCTTTGCAGCCGCGCGCACCCCCCGCACGCACACACACCCTCCCCCCTGCGGGTCCCCTCGGTCGGAGGCGGGGCGGCGGCGGGGACGCGAAGTCCCCGCTTGCATAAGGGGGGCGGGAGTTTCTGCCCCGCTGGCGGGCGCCGCGCGGCCGGGAGGGGAAGTACAGGGCGTTCCGGCCCGGCGAGAGGGCGGGGCGGTCTGGCCGGCGCCCGCCGCCGAGCGCGGGGGGGGGGGGGGGGGGCCGGAAAGTCCCTGGGCGCCTGCCAGGAACACTCAGCTCATAATAACCTCGCGGAAAACACCGCGGCCTCGGCCTCCAGAAACCCCGGCCTTGCGCAATCCCCCGCGGGCCGCGCCTCCCCGGGCCCCACGCAGTGCACTCACCAGCCCTGGGGGTTTTCCCTCTCTTCCCCTCAGGTTCCTGCACTTGGCCATCATCCACGAAGAGAAGGCGCTGACCATGGAAGTGGTCCGCCAAGTGAAGGGAGACCTGGCCTTCCTCAACTTCCAGAACAACCTGCAGCAGGTACGCTGCTCTCCTGCCGCGCACCTCTCTACCGCTCTGACCCCCGTGACGCTCTGACCCCGAGATGCAACCGGGTCTTGCACATGATTTCTAAATTAACAAAGCTTTGGTCATTATCTGCCCAGATCTTTTACATCTGTGTCAGCCAGTGTTCTAGAACAGAAAATTCCATTGATTTGGGGAGGCCTTTATGAAGCCCATCTGGGGCCTCTGCTATTTTGCCTTGCCCCTGGTGTGCGCCTGGGAAAAGCAGCACCCACAACCAGGATATCTCTGGGGTTCAAGGGAACACAGACGGTGGGTTGGATCCATGGCTCATCCTTTCTGTCCCTTCTTCTGTTTGTAGACGCCACTCCACTTGGCTGTGATCACTAACCAGCCAGAAATCGCTGAGGCACTTCTGGAAGCTGGCTGTGATCCTGAGCTCCAAGACTTTCGAGGAAATACCCCCCTACACCTTGCCTGTGAGCAGGGCTGCCTGGCCAGTGTGGGAGTCCTGACTCAGCCCCGGGGGACCCAGCACCTCCACTCCATCCTGCAGGCCACCAACTACAATGGTGAGTCCTGCTGCGCTGCCCATCAGAGGGCAGGTGAGGTGGACAAGGGGGAGGCAGGCTGACTTAAGGAGTCCAGGCAAGGCCTAAGCTCTCACCGTGTGAAAGATGGAGAAAACATGTATAAAGGCCTAGTTGATGCCTTTCTAAAGTCAATTCAGAACTCAGGTTCTGGGCTCTTCAAATTAAGAAGAATGTGTCCCTTAAAAGAATAGGGACATAGGTATAGGAATATGTATACCTATGGCTGATCCATGTTGACATATGGCAGAAACCAATACAATATTGTAATTATCCTTCAATGGAAAATAATAAGAAAAAAAAGAATCGGTGAAAGCTTCTGCTTGAGAAGTGAGTGTTGAAACAAATAGTTATAATACTGTCTTTTGGTCTTCTAGGCCACACGTGTCTGCACTTGGCCTCTATTCATGGCTACCTGGGCATCGTGGAGCTGTTGGTGTCCTTGGGTGCTGATGTCAACGCTCAGGTGAGTGCCTCACACCTTCGGATGGAGTGCATCAGGCCAGCCTGGTCCTCGATAGGATCACGGGCTTTTGTTGCAAGCAGAACGTCCTAACTCAGCCGTAAGCATCTCGAATTCCTTTATGGTTCCAGGAGCCCTGCAATGGCCGAACTGCCCTCCATCTGGCAGTGGACCTGCAGAACCCCGACCTGGTGTCACTCCTGTTGAAGTGTGGGGCCGATGTCAACAGGGTCACCTACCAGGGCTACTCAGCGTACCAGCTCACGTGGGGCCGCCCCAGCACGCGGATACAGCAGCAGCTGGGCCAGCTGACCCTAGAGAACCTGCAGACGCTGCCGGAGAGTGAGGATGAGGAGAGCTATGACACCGAGTCAGAGTTCACCGAGGACGAGGTGAGTCCCGATTAACTTGGTCATGGCCCTGCAGAAAGGACGAGGAGAGGCCATTCTCCCTCCCCCTTTTAAGGCTCCCAGAGTTCCTCCTTATCCTGAGGGTCTCAATGTAATGAGCCTCTCAAGCTTGAGTATGTGTAAGCAGGATCCCGAGAGCCTGTCTTTGTTGTTCTTTTTTTTTCACTCTTCTTGAAGGAGAGGATCCTTAAAGGAAAACTCCCTCAGCCCAGGAAGTTCATTTACATTCAGGGTATAGAGAATAGAGTCTAAGAATACTTGAATTATTTCCAGTAGCAGCCCTCCCCATCATCCCAGCACCCTTGGCAAAGCCCTGTGAGTTTAACCTGCCTTTTTTCTCTTTTTAGCTTCCCTACGATGACTGTGTGCTTGGAGGCCAGCGTCTGACGTTATGAGCTTCAGAAAGAAGCTAAAAGAACATGGACTTGTATATTTGTACAAACAGAGAGTTTTATTTTTCTAAAAAAAAAAAGAAAAAAGAAAAAAAAAAGGGAGGGGTGTACTTATAACCACACTGCCTGGTCTGGAACATTTGACTCTGGATTAGCCCTCAATTTGTCATTTTTGTGAACTCTGGAAGAGGGGGCAAGAAAGATCATTGGAATTCAGAGATAAGCTCTTTTAAATGTCACCTTTGGTGGGGTTTCGGAGGGAAGGTTATTCAAAATTTGATGAAAGGACTCTTATTTATTGTGCTTGTTGGTTGAATCACCGTGGATTCTGTGGCTGGGCCAGTTGAGTGACGTATAACCATCAGGTGTGTTGTTAAACCGGTCGGGAGGGTGGGGTTAAAAGTCACTACCTGTCAAGGTGTGTGTTCCCCTTCTGTAAATACTGCACATAGTGTATTTTGTTGGTAATTATTTTGGTACTTTGAAGATGTATATTTATTAAACAGATTTTTACAAACAGAGTGATCCTGCTCATTTTCTTGGGGCTGCGGTGGGTCTCCCACACAGAGTCATTCAGTCCCCGGGCCGAGGCGGAGGCGGAGGCGGAGGCGGAGAGCATGTGGGAGAACTCACCACAGCCACGGAGCCCTCTCACAGAGCAGCTTCTCACACTGTCGACACCAGCGTCCCCGCTGGGCTTTGTAGGCAGCCACGGCCCGGCGCGTGGGAGGGAGGCTGTTGTAAGGTGATAGGAAACACCAGTCTCAGGCTTGGGGTGGGCAGGCTGTTTGGCCCACAGCTGGAAGGCTCTTCATTGTCGCCTGCTTTCATCTTCTTGGTTTAAGCTATTCCAGGACCTTCCTTCCGCTTTAGATTATTTTGGCCAAGAGGAGTATGTGGAATTTACATTTTCTAGAGCTGGGAAAGATCTCCTGTATGAGACGTTCATGAGGAAGGGGGCTTAGGAATAGGACAGCGCTAATGTGTGTTAGCAGGTGCCCACCTCTGGGCCTTTCTTTCCTCGCTTACAAACTGGACCATCTGAAGATTGCACAAGACTATCCGCACAAAAATCATAGCATAGTGCCAGGCACCTTGTGCTGAAGAAGAAATACAAGTCGTTGCACAACATCCTGTATTTCACACGGGAAGGAACAAGTCCGCAGAGAATGTCCTGTTTGGGGTCACCTTTCAGGACAGACAGGTGGTTAACTTAGTTAATGCACTCTTGTCTTCAGTGGTTAACAGCTTTTAAGCACCATCCACCTGCAAATCAGCCTGTTTTACTGTTAGCAGCTGTAGGATAAAACTGACTAAGTCTGGGTCTTTTCATCAGTTCAGTCTGATTTTCCTGAATGATTCTACAGAAGATGATGATTTCATAAGAAATCAGTAACTTGTGAAGTTTAGGTTTAGATGCTATCAAGGATTTTTATCCCTAAAATGCACCTCTTGCCTAGACAGAGAAGTAAAGGAAAATTTATACCGTTGCATAAAATGCAGAATGGTGTATCAATCAATACAACTCATGTACTTCGGCTTATACCTAAGAGGACACTATTCTTCCCTTATGTTATCCTTTTCTTGACCGATAAATGATGTCACAGTCAAGTGAATATGATAATTATCTTCTTAGACCAAAACGGGACCAATGCCTCCTGGATCTTTCATATGTAAAGAGTATTGCTGTAGACTGGAGCATGTGGTCAAAGCCGGCTCTATCCCCCTCCTGCAGCCTCAGTCCTCTGGAGCTGAGCACTGCGGTGGCCCCTCTACCTGTCTCATCTCTCGGTGCTGTAGGGCCCTCGCTGAAACTCCTTGTCCCTCTCAGAGCACCTGAACACAGGTGTTACATGATCTAACACATGACTGTCAGGTTCAGCCCTCCACTGACACACACAAGCGGATAGAGGGGGCAGGGAGAACACCCACCTCCAATCTCAGAGAACCAAGGTTGGAAATTGGCTCCCAATTTTGGAATGACTCCCTTAGCGGGTCTCAGTCAGACGTGCCTCTTTGTCCCCCGTGGTTGAGTGTACAAGTCACTTCAGTTCTACGCTAGGGGGTTGGAGAGACAGGACAAACAGACGTGGCCCACCATCCCCTGGCCTCCCTGGGGATGGGCTGATGTGTAGAGGCATGACTTCCAGGCTCACGGCACAGAGGGGCCTCTTCTGCTCCAGTTGGGCCCAGCCTTCCACCTTCTTGGCTTCATTCAATCTTTGTGCTCTTCTGGACCCTAATGCCCAGGGTGGATTCCATTGTCTGCATAAACCTGGGTGTAGCTGGCCTCAGTTTCTTTCCTCTCTGGATCATCTTCCTGTTTCTCCATCTCCTTTCTTTCTTTTTTTTTTTCTTTTAAACCTATCCTACCTTCAAACCTCTGGTTGGTGGCTGGAGCCTGGAGTTCCCTAAAGAAAAATTTTAGAACTGAAACATTCTAATCCATGGAAAATCTTCCTTAGACTTTCTCCCTTGCAAATTTCTAAGCACATGAGAACCCAAGTTTTCAAAGAAAACAGTTCAACAGACTGGGAGCCTTCTATGCACTCTGATTTTCTCCAAGAAGCCAAAGGTCCTGTCAAGACAAGTAGAAATACAGGAGCCTTGGGGAGAAGGGAAGTGGTATGAGAGAGGAATAAAAATCCTGTCAGCAACTTCCTTGAATTTAGTTCCTTGATTCCTTCTGCCTGCCTCATCCTCAGGATAAGTCATTTCCAGAAGGAAGGGTTTTTCTTTAAAGATGGGACAAACTCCAGTCTGAGCAATTTGAAGACTTTCCTTCACGTGGGGCCGAGAGATGTCAAGGCCGGGTGCCGGGGGGCATTTGCATTGAAACTTCATTTGCTACTGGAAGTGATTAAGTCCTTACAGTTAGGACTGAGTCAGTGAGATGTACTTGCTTCGCCCCCTCTCCTCCCGATTTTCATCAGCTCGCCCTAGGTAAAGTTGAAGTTTCATTTGGCAAGAAAGGTCAGAGTGGAACTGCAGTCAGAAACATAACCGAGAAGCATTCCCCAACCTCTGGGACCTGGACAAGAATATCCCAGTTCATTTCCCCATTTTAAGGGAGCATCACAGAAACTGAAACTGGATGGCCCATGTGTGTTTCCCTCCTAGAGGGAATGCATGACAAAGCATTATTATTATTATTATCCAGGCCCTGTGCTAGATGCGAGAGACACAAAAAGGAACCAGTCATGGCCTCTGCCTCAAAGAGCTCCTTGCTCAGGTGGAGAGAAAGATAGTACATAGAAGAAAGGATGACAGGATGAGGCACAGAATGTGATGTGAACTCAGATCAGAGGCCCCCAGGGCAGAATGTGGCAGGGGAGGCGGACCAAGAGATTACACCCTAGTTAGCTATCTGCTCCCCAGGCCAGAACTATCCTCTTATATCCCGAGTGACCAGTGGGCCCCTCTCAACACGTACAGGAAATAAAGCTGTGCTCAGAACAAAACTAACTCTGGGATGAGATTAAACCAAGCATGCACAGCACGCTATGCTATTAATTTTTGCATTTCTGTGAGCTCTAAGTTTCCAGAGCTGAGCCTGAAAGCAATGGGATGAATGACAAATGACATGCATGCCTTAGTCTGTTGTTGATCAGTCGCTCAATCATGTCCGACTCTTTGTGAACCCATGAACTACAGCACGACAGGCTTCCCGGTCCTTCATCTCCCGGAGCTTGCTCAAACTCATGTCCATTGAGTCGATGATGCCACCCAATCATCTCATCCTCTGTTGCCCCTTTCCTTAGTCTAGCACTTGTCAAACTCAACGTGTGCTCGAATGTGCACTTGTGTGCCCTGGGGATCTTATTGAAGCACAGGTTCTGTCTCCTTTGGTCCCAGGCTGGAGCCTGACCCTTGCATTTCTAACAAGTCCCCAGACAAGGCCTGTGCTGCTGGCCTGGGGACCACACTCTGAGGAACATTCTGAATACAATGTTATGTTGGTTATTTATTAAAGCCAGCATTCTCGGCCATCCCCCTGGGTACCACCGACAAAAATGGACAAGCGTTTCTGCAGCTGCTCCTGAGAATGATCTGGCATCAGGCAATATGAGTCTTTAGAAAAGAAGGGCTGGATCCTGAGGGCTGACATTAAAATAGAGGCCAAGGCCAAAAAACCTGCCATCAAACCAGGTAAATGTATTAATAATAAGGAAAGCAGCTGATACAATGCAAGGCCAAAAGTGTGATCACCTGAGGTCTAAGAAAAGGACAAAATCATGAAAGAAATGCACTTGAAGAATAATTCACTAATTAAGAAGAAGAAAGTGAAAGTCACTCAGTAATGTCTGACTCTTTGCGACCCTGTCCATAGAATTCTCTAGGCCAGAACACTGGAGCGGGTAGCCTTTCCCTTCTCCAGGGGATCTTCCCAACCCAGGGATTGAACCTACGTCTCCTGCATTGTGGGCAGATTCTTTACCAGCTGAGCCACAAGGGAAGCCCAAAAAGAAGAAAAGCTGGCTTTAAAAGAAGGTTATTTGTCCCTTTCATGAGGTTGCTGCAGCATGTTGGGAGGGGCCCTGACCAGGCCTCCTTCGAGAAGATGGGAAGAGGGGTTGGCTTCCCTATGACAAAGTCCCCACAATATCCTTATCAGAATATGAGACACCTTAACAAGAAAAAAAACCAAACAAGGAACAAAAAAATAGAAAAAAGGCACATGAGAAGCCTTAACAAGTACTGACTAAAATGCATCAGGGAAGACTTTAAAGAATCACTTCCCCTTAAATGTTGCCAGCATTTCATGTTTCCTAATTAGAGAAAGTCACTGAATATAGTCTATATGGAAAACATTTAGCCATTTGAAGATAAATTTTTGGAGTAAGTTGCTATATTTTCATTTTGTACCCTCTGCAGTGGAAGCTCAGAGTTCTAACCAGTGGACCACCAGGAAGTCCCTAAATTTACTTTTATGTATTCAATATTACACATGTACATAATACTTGCTCTATGCCAGACATTATTATAAGTGGTTTATAAATATT